GGCCTCAGATCAATCAGGACTCTCGGCTCCTCAGTTCCTGCTCACGTACCTGGTCTATTTCCCACCTGTAGCCTCACGTGATACTCCCAAGTGGCCCACGGTTTAGAAGACTGCTTCCACTAACTTCTGCTTTGGGTCACCTCATTTTTCTAATCGGTGGTTAAAAACTGGAAACGGGGGCCAGCTTTGCGGTGCAACAAGGTAAGCCGCTACCTGCAAAGGGAAGAATATCCCACATGGGTGCTGGGTCAAGTACTCTACTTCCAATCCAGCTCCCTGCTACTGTGCCTGAAAAAGCAGTGGAGGAGGGCCCAAGCCCAAACCCTTGTGGAAGACCTGGCTGGAGTTCCAGGCTCCAGGCTCAGTTGCAGCCATTTAGGGGACAATCTCATCTTCCACTGCTCTCCTGGGCTGATCTTCTGACCTGCTCCCTGAAAAGGAGGTGAAAGATGATGCAAGTGCTAGGTCCCCATGGCTCATGTGGGAGACCAGGATGCAGCTCCCGGCTGCTGGCTTCAGCCTGGCTCAAACTGGGCTGTTGCCATCATTTGGAAGACAAACCAATGGATGAAAGATCTTTCTTTTCTTTCTCTTCTTTCTCTGTCTCTCCTACTCTTTTTAATTCCTCCAAATAGATATATCTTAAATAAACAATTCTTTAAAATGCCTTTAACATATTACACATAGACTTCACTTTTTAACTTCAAGCACCAAGACTGGAAAACTAACACGGGGCGAGAGAGAGGCAGAGTGGTGGCATAACAGCCTAATTCTCCGCCTGTGGCATTCCATTGGGGTACTAGTTCAAGTCCCGGCTGCTCCACTTCCAATTTGACTTCCTGATGATCGCCTGGGAAAGCAGCAGCCCAGCTCTGACGGTTGTGCTCATTTGGGGAGTGACACAGCAAACGGAAGATTCTTCTCTCTCTGCCCCCTTCTCTCTGTAACTCTTCCAGGTAAAATAAATAAATAATCTCTTTAAAAAGAATAGAAACACAGACATATGACTACCACTGGTCCTAGGCTCCTGTCCAGGCCTCGCCAGTGAGTCCAGCCACTTCCTTCTCCGCACACAGAGCCAACCCAGGACCGCACAGTCAGCTCCTCTGTGCCTGCCATTTCCTCCCCTGAAGAACAGTCCTTCAGTCTTTGACTTCTGTACTCTTGACCCTTTTGGGAAAGACTAACCAGTTGTTTTGAAGAGTGCCCCTCACTTTGCCTGACATCTCAAGATCACGTTCAGGTTTTATACACGTGACAGAGACAGGACCATCTCAGAAGCAAAGCTGTGTTATTCTCACCACATCATGTCAACAGGCGTGCCACTTTGATTTGGTCCATTTGTTGCCCTTGATTAAAGAGCAGGGCTGCAGGCTTTTCTATCACAAAATTACTCTTTTATTCTTAATAATTAGTTAGTACTTTGTGGGGAAGTGTTTCAAGATTGTAGGGGTGAAAGCTGTGGCATAGTATGTTAAGCCTCTGCCAGCAGCACTGGTATCCCATATAGGCACCAGTAGGGCCAATAGCTCCACTTCCCATCCAGCTCCCTGTGTGTAGTTTGGGAAAGCAGTGGAGGATGTTCCAAGGTCTTGGGACCCTGCAGCCCACAATGGAAGACCAGAAAGAAACTTCTAGCTCGCGATCAGCTCAGCTCAGCTATTTCAGTCATTTGGGAGTAAACCAGCAGATGGAACATCTTTCTCTGTTCTCTCCTCTCTCTCTGTTATTCTTTCAAAAAAAAAATGTTTACCTAAAAGAAGACTATTCCTTATTAAACTTCTAACTTACTCATTATTTCTACCGATGTGGGTTTCTGTGAGTTAAAATCTGTTAGTATCACTACTTATTTTGGTTCTCAAGCTGCTTCTTATCTTGCTGGCAGGAATCCATTTTATAGTTTACGATCCTTGGAGTATTTTCTTACTTACACGTGTGATATGTTCTGACTCATTTTATTTTGTGCTTGACCCAACTCTGGAATCTGCCATTTATCCAAGAAAATACTTTCCTTGTTAGTGAAAGATGGTAGAGACCACGACCTGGCACTAGGGTGCTCATTGCCCTTGAGGTGTCATTGCTTCTAGATGCTCTCAGAGACCAGAACCAGGGAATATGAACAGAGAGAAAGACAGGTGATGGATGGATAGACGATGAACAAATGATACATGCGTTCACATACATGTATGTGGCTATGCACTAACGTACGTACATTTTACATCCATGTTGACTTTGCGTCTGTGTACAGGGCAGGGGCTAGTGTTGAAGTGAGAAACAGAGGTTGAAGTGTCTGCTGGGGAAGCCGCGGAGCCAGCCTCTATGCGTGTATGCCTGTACATATACGTGTACATGCACATGTGGTTTTTTTTTTTTAAGATGTATTTATTTTTATTGGAAAGGCAGATATACAGAGAAGAGGAAAGACAGAAAGATCTTCCATCCGATGATTCACTTCCCAAGCAGCTGCAATGGCTGGAGCTGAGACGATTTGAAGCCAGGAGCCTCTTCCGGGTCTCCCATGCAGGTGCAGGGTCCTAAGACTTTGGGCTGTCTTTGACTACTTTCCCAGGTCACAAGCAGGAAGCTGAATAGGCAGTGGGGCCTCCAGATTAGAAATGGTGTCCATATGGGATCCCAATGCATGCAAGGAGAGGACTTTAGCCCTAGGCTACACTGCCAGGCCCATGCACATGTGTTTTTACTGCACACATGTGTATGTGTTTCTCTGAGAAACTCAGGAGGGTAACATAGTTGAAATGAAGGACTGTGTGTTGGTACACAGGGAGTCTTCCATAATGGCTGTGTCTACGACTGGCTCCATGAAGGTGGCTAATGAGGTCCTGAGGCTGCAGGACCCTTCTCTGTATTCACAGCATCAGCATGTTCACACGCCCACGGTCATCTAGGCAGCACGGGGCCTTGGCAGCCTGCTCCTCACTGATTCAACGCGTTCTCAGAAAACGAGATGATTTGCCTCTGGCCGAGGGCCTGAGGAAGTAACCTGGCAATCCTCAGGCCCAGGGATGGCTCTACGGCTGAGGGAATCCCCAGGGAGACCTGAGCGTGCCAGTAGGAAGCTGGTCCTCCCCGCAGGGCACGCCGTCTCCTGGCTGGGACTCAAATCAACAGTGTGATATGGTACCAGGGTATCCCAAGCGGAAGCTCAACCCACAGGGCCACAGTGCCAGCTCAGAATATCCTTTGTGATTCAGGCCGAGTAATATTCCAGTGCACCTGCCACTCACTGCTCACCCATTCCACCCTCAATGGGCATTTAGGCTGCTTGCCTTGCCACGGGTTATGAATGATGCTGCTGTGAATACATGTACGTAAATACCCACTCAGGCACTTGCTGTCCATTCTTTTGGACATATACATGCAGAGTGGCACTGCTGACCATGTACTTTCGAGGGACAGCCATGTTTGTATTGCACAGAAAGCACTGTGGTTTTAAGTCCTTGAGATTTGGGGTTGTTCGTTAGCACCTCTGGTTACTTGGGATCAACCGGGATTCCCGTGTGACCACGGTGCGGCTGAGACAAGCGAGGGAGTGTAGATGCCTGTTGTGGTTGGAGTGGGATACGGCCGTTTCACACCACTGTCTTATGCTGTCAATGACTGGCAGATGAAGGCCGGAAGCAATTCTGGTATCTGGGACGTGGGTCCAGCAGAAGGGCTTTTGGTGATGGGGCCTTGCTTTCAGGAGGCATGTCAGGAGAAATGTTAGCAGAGCTGAGCCCAGCTCTTCCCCTCGCTACTTCCTGGCTCGTCTTGCAGTTCACTGTTATCCATGTGCACTGCCCTCTTCAGACCTCAGACCCAAGGGACTCCTGATTTGGGAGCCGGGCAAACCTTCCTCCTTCCCTAAGCAGCGCCACCTGTGTCGCCGCAGTTCCAGTCAGGAGGCCCAAGGCAGAAGGACTCCGAGCTGACCCAGGTGCACTGGGTGGCTCGGAGGGTGAGCCAGCACCAACTGTCATCTTAGGGACTAAAGACCCTAGGGGCCAGCAGCTGGGACCAGCTGTGTCACCACACAGTGGCATCTCACTGGACACCGCCTAGGATCTTTTTGGCTGTGCACATCCAAGGTCACACCTTTCATTAGCCCCCTATGAATGTCGCCAGTCACAGCACTGTTGAACAAAATCTTACCTGTGCCCGTCTTGGCCCCAGGTCAGCACAGCTCAGTAACAGCAGATGTGGGGGAAGGGAAAAGAGGTGAGACAGTGACTTCAGAATCCCAGGAGCCTGGACCTCAGTAGCTCCCTCTGTAAACCAAGGGCAGCCCCCCATGGGGGGCCCTAGCTCTCCCCTGGGGTCCTTGCTGTGGGAGGGCTAGGGTTCCCTAAACCCCAGGTGGAGGTGGAGGTGAAGGCGCACCAGGCTGGAATCAGCATTCAGGGTGTTCCTGGGCACCTATGCTTAAGTCGCCAGCCAAGGGCCAAGGGCCAAGGGCCAGGGGCCTGCAGGGCTCAAGTGTACCTACTTAGTGCCTGCTCTGAACCAAGTGCTGGGCTCCAGAGGGGATGTCAGTAGCCCTACCACCGGCCAGGGATGCATGGCCATGGACCGCAGGACCTCGCAGCAGCAGCAGCGTGGCTGACCATGGAAAAGGCCAAGACAATTGCCTGGAGAGTCGACTCTGGGCTTGAGAACTCTGAGTTCCCCAAAGACCCGGGGAACACCTAGGGGCTTTAGGAAGCCCCTCTCCTGGGTGAGAAGGCAACCTGTAGCACAAGGAATTAGGTGTCCACTACCCTGAAAAGGGTGAACTTGGTGGTGGCAGTGAATGGTGCCTAGGGAGTGGGCACGAGGCAGGCTGGCTTCAGCAAGGAGCCCCTGCCCATGAGTGGCAATGGCGGGTGTCTGGGGAAAGAGATGGGGCGTGCAGCTGGGGGAGGCTGAAGGTGGGCCAGGCCAGCAGGCTGAGGAATGAGAACCCCACCTTCCCACAGTGAGGGGGTGAGGGCGGGTGCAGAAACGCAGGGAATATATTACAGCTAGGAGAGACCTTCCGAGTCATTTCGCTCAGCCTCCCACTCCACGAACTCCTTCCAGTGCCCAACTGGGGGGGGGCAGCCCACTCGACTCGGCCACCTCCAGGTACAAGGGCGCTCATCCCCTGCGGCGTGGCTCGGGCTGCAGGCTCCCGGCGCTGCGCCCTTGGCCCCGCCGTCGGGGCCCGTGTGGCCTGCACTCGGGCGGCGGCCGCCGCACCTGGCCGCGGGGATGGGCCGGCGCTGCTGTCCCCAGCTCCGGTGCTGAGAGCGGCAGAGTGCAGTGGGCTCTGGCGGAGGTCGGGAGAACTGCAGGGCGAAGGCCGCCGGGGGCTCGGCGGGCTGCGGGGGGGAGGCACTTGACACCGGCCGGGAGAAAGGAGGGGCCGCTGTCCCTGCGGCCAGTGCTGGATGCGGGCACCCAGCGCAGAGGCAGCGCCAGGTAGCGGGGCGGCCCGCGGGGAGAGGGAGGGCTGCGGTAAGGCACCCCTGCTCCCTTGCCCGGGCTCGACTGCCCCTCGAGGGGCGCCAGGGCTGGCGGTGTGGCCAAGGCGGCATGCCCCGGCCGCCTCTGGGAGTGGGGTGGTGGGCGGTGTTGGTGCGGGGTTCGATCCTCCGTCTGGCAGCGTGCAGGGGGGCCCCCCGGCGGGGCCGCAGCGTCGGACCGAGGGCGCTAGGACCGGCCGCGCGCCCAGGCCGCTCCCGCCGCGGCGCCCCGGGGGCCCCCCAGCCGGCGGCGCTGCCTCCCGGGCCGGCTCCGCAGCGCCGGGGCCGGGGCCAGCGCGGCCGCGGGGGGCGAGCGGCGGGCGGAGGCCTGGGCCCGCGGGCGGCCGGAGGGAGGGAAGGAGGAAGGCGGAGAGAAGGGGTGGGAGGGGGGGACCCGGCGGAGGAGGCGGAGAGAGGGAGCGCGACAGCGAGCGGAGGGAGGGAGCGAGCGAGCGAGCGAGGCAGGCAGGCGGGCCGGGCGGGAGGGAGGGCGCGCGGGCGGCGGCGAGAGCAGAGGACGAGCCGGGACGCGGCGCCGCGGCACCAGGGCGCGCAGCCGGGCCGGCCCGAGCCGACCGGCCCCACACGGTAATGAGCGCCGCTGCGGGCGGCCCGGGAGGCCGTGCCGGAGGCTGGCGCGGGGCGGGAGGCCGGGCGGGGGGCACGGCGGGGCAAGGCAGTGCCCGGCTGCGGGGCACGCTCGCGGGAAGCCCTGCAACTCGGCGCCGGGGCGCCCGCGGGGCTGCGGGGCTGCGGGGTGGGGACGGCCGGCCTGCCGGGCTGGCCGGGGGCGGCGCGGGGCAGAGGAGGGTTTGTTTATGTCCCTCCCGTCCTGGCCGCTCCTGGCGCGGACCCCCCTCCCCGCCCCCGCCCGGGCTCCGGGCTCAAGTTCAAGTCTATACAATGCCGCGGGGGGCCCTCCTCCTCCTCCTCCTCCTCCTCCACCGCGCTGGCCTCGGCCGTGGTGCCCGGCTCGGCGCTGCCGCAGGGGCCCCGGGGCCTGGCCGCCCCCGCCTTCCGGGCCCTGCCTCCCCTCACCCCCCGGGGCCCGCGGGGGCTCCGCCTGGGGCCTGCTGCCAGGGCGCCAGAGGGCGCGGACCCCAGACCCGGAATGCTCGGCCCCCTCGCCGCGAGCCGCGGGGAGCCCAGGAGCGGGTGTGGGGGGCCGGGCCCCCGCGCAGGCTCCGCGGCGGCGGCAGAAAATGGCAGCCTGGCACGACCCGGCCCCCCGCCCCTCCCCCCCGGCTCCCGGCCCTCCTCGGCCCGGCTGGGCGGGGGGGGGACCCGGGCGGCCTCCGGGGGGCGGGCCTCGGGGTGATGGGGGGCCGGGCCGCCGAGCGCAGCTCCGCGATCCTCCTGCGGCCACCTGTGGCTGGAGGGTGCGGGGCGCCCGCGGATCTGGGAGGGGCGCGAGGGGGTGGGGAGAGCGCCCCCTCATACACACTTTGGGGGTGCACCTTTCCGCGGGAGGGGACGGCAGGCCCGGGGCGGGGTGCGGGGCGTCGTGCCCGGCTCCTCCCTGCCCCCGCTGCGGGCCGTGGGAGCCGGGGCGGCGGTGGCGGCGACGCCGCAGTGTGGGGGCGGGGCGGGGGCGGGCGGGGATCCCGGGCCGCGGGGGGCCGGAAAACGCGGGGGTGGGAGCCGTGGGGCCGGGGCTGGAGCGGCGGCATGGGGGCCACACGCCTGGGGTCGCCCCCTGCAGCCGGACGCCACCCCCCCTACACACACTCACACGCACGCGGACACACGCACCCCGCCGGGCCGGTGCAGACGTGTCCTTGAGAGCTTCGCATCTGCACGAGTGAAGGACGCGCGGCCTTGCCGCGGGTGCAGGAACGGGGGTCTCGGGACCCGCGTCCCCGCGCCCCGGGAGACCCCGCACTCCGTGGCCCGCCCTCACCCCGGCTCCCCTCTCCCGACAGCCCTGGCCTCCCTCGCCTTTGGCGCGGCCCGAGCTGGCGCGGGGCCAGGGCCCGCCCCCAGCCTCCCCCCAGCCCCTCGTCGCCGTGCCCCGCGGCCTCGGGCTGCCAAACTGCGTGCGCGTCTCGCGTTCCTGGAGCCTCCCTCCTTGGGGCACCCCCTCCTCCCCTTCCCCCACCAACAGCTGCGTGCGCCCCCCACTGCGGCAAGGCCTATGGAGTAGGTGTGGGCGCCCTCGGTGTGTGTAGAGGGAGGGGATGGTGCTGGCTATCTTGGGGGGGCTCGCCAAGGGGAGCCCCCTGTGGCTGCACCTTGACCCAAGATGGCGTCCTGCACCCAGGCTGGGCAGCCCTGGGCTGCGCCAGGCGGAGAGGAAGAACTGAGGCCCCAGAGTCGCACAGCTCGCCCCCCTTTTCCCTCTCTCGGGGGCAAAGGCGGCGGGGAGAAGCACCTTCCGCCCCGTGACCCGGTGTGCCCCTCGCTGCCATGCCCAGAGTCTGCCCTCAGCCTCCCTGGGGGCCTGCGCAGTCTTCAGGTTTCAGCCCCGGCTGCCAGCGGCCGAGCCTCCTGGGCTGGCAAGGCTACTGAGGACTCCTGAGATCAGGTGCAGCCTCCCCCCCACCCAGGCAGATGTGACAGCTGCAGCCTGGGAGCCCAGCTGTCAGGCCCACCCTCTTTGGGCTGTCCACTGGGTTGGCAGGGGCTGCTCCAGGTATCTCCTCAGAGCAGCCTGCCCCTGAGTCAGGTCTCGCCGGAGGTCCTGCAGGATATGGGAGCCCTGGTGTGGCTGAGACAAGCAGAGCTGCTAAACTGTGTGTGGGGGCAGGGCGCTGCAGGCCAGTTTGTGCACCAGTTGGCACCTACCTGCCACTCCTGCTGGGGCCCTGGGTGCCCCCTCCAGCCTTTCGCCCACTCCCGCCCCCGCCCGAGATGGTCTCGGCTCCTCCTTCCTGCAGCTGGCCCTGGCCAGGACTGGCCGAGGCTCTCCATGTCACCTGGCTCAGGCCTGGTGCCCTCCCTGCGCAGACTGACCGAGGAGGGAAGAATTTCCTTCCGAGCGCAGCCTGGAGCTGACCCCCTCCCAGTGCGTGCAGGAGCCAGGGCCAGGCAGCCAGTGGCCATCTGTCAGGGGTGTCTGTGGACTGGATTCCTCTGCCGGGTGGGGGCTGGGTTGGAGCTGGCAGGTTCATTCAAACTTCAGGGTTCTGTGGCTCAGATTGTCCTGGTGGAATTTCAGGCCCAGGGATGGGGGTAGGGTGCTCCGTTTTCCCCCTCTCCGCACACCCCCCCATGCAGTGGGAAATTTGGGGAAGCCTTCCAAGGAGAGGGGGAAGGACAGCCAGCAGGGCCCTCCCTGGGAGTGGTAAGATAGGGGACAGGTTGGTCCCGGCTGGCTCCCACGTCACGGCATGCCCCCACCCAGCACTCACATGTTGTGCTCATGTAGGTTCCTGTATGAAGCTGTGTGCGTGGAGAATTCCCGAGGGGTCAACCCTGAGTGCCCCTGCAGTGCACCTGCCAGTCCTCACTGGCATTCTCCAGTCCCTTCCCTAACCGACTCGGCCTTGGTCCCTGGACCTCTCCGAAAGGGACACCCTGAAAAATTTGTCCACAGTCTCCACGTTGTGGGCGATCTAGGCTGCCCCACTCTTAATGGCACTGCCCTGGGCTGAAGCTGCAAGTCCAGCCCTCCTGGAAGCTTCTGGCCGCCAGGCAATGTGGGGACCTGGCCTTGGGCACCTAGTTCTGGGGTGGACATTCCAGCAGGGTGTCTGTGCTGTGCCTGGTCCCTGTGTACTCCCTGGAGGCAGGGGTGGTAGCAGGGCTGTCTCCTTTAAAGCCATTCCCCAAGGGACTTTAAACAGTTCGCGGAGTATGGGTGTCATGATAGAACTGTGGGATTCAGATGTTCAAGTTCATTAGGGTCATGCCTCCCTCAAGTGGCTCCAGGCTCCTGTTTTGGGGCCGCAGGTAGAACGGGAGCGTGACAGCAGCAGCCTTGTGCCCTGTGTTGGGGACATTCCCCCACATACACACACTTTCCTCCTATGCTGTTGGTGCTGTGGAGCTGGACTGGTGACTTGGCTGTGCTGTCCAGGACCCGAGTCCAGAAGGGCCACTCAAATGGCCATCACATGCCCTCCCTGCCATGCCCCTGACGCTTCCTGCTGCTGCCTGCAGCTTGCTGGACTGGGGTCCCTGCTTGGTGTCTTTCGTCCTCCAACCCCCACTCCAGAGGTCACTGGCCTCTGCTGTTGGGGGTGGAGGGGTACAGCTGTCAGGAATCGCTTGTATGTTCCATCATGCAGTGTCTTGTAGATCCTAGAACCTACCAGGCTGAGGGTCATACGGGGTCTGTGCTGCCCCTTTGTCCGAGCCTCAGTTTTCTCACCTGTCGCCTGGGAATGTCTGCAGATTCTGCTCCTAAGTGGCTTGCGGAGGGCAGCGAGGTGTATGTGTTGGAGGTATGTGGCCTTGGCAGCATGAAGCGCTTGGTGACAGTGAGCTGAGCCTTCCTGAGGAGTCGTGTCCACCTTCCTGTTTGCAAAGGTGTGGGCACTTGAGGAAAGTGCTAATTCTCATGTAGAATCTTCCAAGGTCGGAGACAGGCTGCTCCGCTGGGCCGAGTCGCACAGGGCACAGGTTGCTAGTGTCATGTTAGATCCGCAACGCCGCGGTGATGTCGCTGTGTTCCTCCACATCTCTCCCGCCCTGCACCCCCCACCAGCCTGGCCTGTGAGCAAGGTTCTGCCCTGGCTTGGAGGAGGTGCCCAGCTTCCAGCTAAAGGAGACAGGATGTGTGTGTCACCATCAGCTGAGGAGGTCCTGGAAGCCTTCCTGGAGGAAGGGGAGGCTTTGAAGGGCATTTAACCCCTGTAGTGTGGGACTTGGGGAGAGAGGGGAGGAGCCTGGCTGCAGGAAGGTGCTCTCTGGGCTCTGGCGTATTGGGGCTGGGCATGCTGCTGTGTGGTCAGCCACCCTCTCCCCACTGCAGCACCTCTGCTCTGATGGCTCCTTAGGGATAGGGAGAGGAGCCAGGACAGAAGGGCAGGAGGGGAGGGGCCGCCTGAGCTCCTTTGGTGTGGGATTCTTGTACCTTCTGTCCTACAAATTGACACTCAAGGGCTCAGACATGGAGAGGAACTGGGCAGGAGGTCACCCCGAGGAAGGGGAGCAGGTGCTTGGCATGGTTGTTGTGAGGGCTGAAGGGGAGAGGGGTCCCTTCGGACCCACTCCCCAGGCAGAGGCAGTCCACTACCCAAACCTTCAAGCCAGTGACTTGGAAGGGAATGTGGCCTTGCATCAGGTTCCTGCCTCTGCAGCCTGACTCCACCCCTCTTCCCACCTTCCTCCCCCCCCCCCCATCCAGCATTCCAGAATCCACCAGGAGGGGGAGATGCCTCCCCCGACTTCTACCCCAGCCTCAGCTGGTGACCTGGGCCCCCTGGTGTGGGTACAGGTGCGCTGCAACTGCGACAAGGACAGACACTGGGCAGGGCCCGCCAGGACCAATCTCCCTTGCTGGTCACATCATCAGCCATCCCGCTGTCTGGAGGACAGCGACCTGGGGATGAGCAAGGGCTCTTGGGGCTTTCCTAGCTCAGGAAAGCAGTGGATTTTTTTTTTCCCCCTGCATGGCCAGCTGCTGTCCTGCTGTGCCCCCTCTCCTGCCAGCCTCGCTTAGACCCTGCGGTCATCCCTATTGATCTTTCTTCCCTGTTTCTGTTTCAAATGTCAAGGTCATTTTTAATTCCAAGCCAATTCTCAGCTGCCCCGTCTGGGTACATGGGGGACGGAGGAGGACCATCTGTTACAGGGCAGATCCTGGAGGGCAGGAGGCCTGGGTCTCCTCACTCCTCATCTGCTTCTGCAGGTGCTCCTGAACAGGTTGGGAGTGGGCGCAGGTGCTCCAGTCCTAGGAAGTCATCAGCCGGAGCCCACTTGGGAGGACGAGAGGCGGAGGGAGGAGCCTGGGATCAGAGTAACGGTTGACCCAGCTGTTGTTGGATGTGAACTATGTGTCCTGGTAATTGTCCCCAAGAGGGTGTCCCCTCACCCCCAGCTCAATTCCCTAGAACCCAGGGAGGCCTGGTGGTGTGTGTGTGGACGGTGTGCACTGCCCTTGCCTGGGGAGGGAGACCCCGCCACTGCAGCAAGCAGGAACCTGTTTGGGAGGAGAATTCTTGACAGGATGATCAACTGTGTGGATTCTGAACAGCTAAGGGAGGGCACGGATGGGCACTAGGAGAGTCACTTAGGTGTCCCCTCACCTTTGAAGTGTGGTGCCAGGCATGCCTCTTCTGACCTGCCTGATGCCCAGGAGTCGTCTCAATATTGACTTTTATTGACATGTAGATACACATGTTTTCTGGGCTCCTGCAGGCATAGAAAGACATTCTGGAAGGGTGTATTCTTTTTTCCTTGCCATAGTTTTATATTCTTTGAAAAACAAATGCAAACAAAAGTGTGTTCCTTTCTTAATAACAACACAAATAAAAAAAACTAACAGCTGAGGGAGTAGGAAGAACGTTGACACCCCTGGAAGGCTGAGGGAGGCGCTGTTCCGCGTAAGAGGTGGGCCTGGAGGCCTGCAGTCAAGGGTGAGGTCCCCGCACCGAGTGAGGGAGAGAAGCCGGCAGCTCCCTGCGACCCAGCACCACTCTCCCTCCCCACCCCTGCACCAGAGCATCTTAGGACCAGGACCGGGACCCCAACCTGTGTTCTGACCGGGTCTAGGAAACCTCACAGA